GAACACTTGTGCCGTCGTTCTCAATTCCTGAGTTGTGGTTCTACAAAGAAGACATGCATAGAGGAGTTTTACACAAGGATTAAGGGGATCAGCTTGCCCGAGGGATTCACGGGCTAGACTTCATACTTTCGGTCCCTCACTGCTAGTCAAATAGAGTGGACATTCGGATGGTTGCCCGTCGATGAAATCATATATATGCCAGCAACGGGGCCACACTTCCTTTTGATGGGTCTTAAGAGCATCCAGCCTTATGCTCCGTATCGGGTTTTAAGGCAACTCGGGAGGTGCCAAATAGTGCCAAAAGACGGCGATCTTAGCGCTCAGGTGGTTGAAATTAGCCCTGACGGACAATTCCCTGAAGCAAGAGTCCGCCAGATCTGGAATGAATGCCAATATTTAAAAGCGGATACTTGCGTACAGGATCGAGCCAATTAAGCTGAGCGACCGTGCTAGAACCATGGAACCCGGGAATGCCTAACACCTTCTCCCGGGTTAACAGAATTCCTTACTCGGATTTCTGGATCGCGGACTGTTAAAACAGAGTCATTCTTTTCCTCGGTTCGGGATTCAACCGGTGACTTGGGACACCATAAATCTCCCAAGTGGCGACTCTGAATCTTAATAAACAAATCCCGTTTCGATTGTCCTTTAAGTGGAAAAACTCCCTTACGCCCTTGCGGGTGTGATAAAAGGAGGTGTGACAGTCATAAAAGCATGAAGAGGTCTAACATTTTTAACAAGAGAAACAATGATTAACAAGTAGCAATTAAAGCATGAAAGGCATTTAGGTCACATAACAGTTAAAGCAGGGAAGGAGAAAATTAAGGAAAAGCGGAAAAAGAGGGAAAAATAAGCAATTCGGCCGCGTATAAGCACTCGTCACCTCGAATATACGCCGCAACACATGAAATTCACATAGCATGTAGTCCGAGGATTCCTAATTCGCTCGATTCAAGGTTAAACTCAACACTTACCTCACTCCGCAGTCAACTCAGAGCTCTACCGGGGCCTTTCCCCTAGAATTCACCTCCAAACCACTCGTATCTAACCATAATTGACTCAATAATATTAAATATTGCTAAAGGAATCAATTTCAATGCATAAATTTAGAATTTCCAAACTTTCCCCTCATAAGTCAAAAATTGACCCCCGGGCCTGCTTGGCCCAAATTCGAAATTTGGACCAAAATCCGATTATCCATTTACCTCCGAGCCCGGTTATATAATTAGTTTCGGGATCCGACCTCAAGTTGAGTCTAAATCCCTAATTTACAAAAAATTCCAATTCTTCCTAAATCTCTAGTTTTCTACCATGGAAGGACAAAGATTAGGGCTAGAAATTAAAAGCTGATGTTAGAAATGGAAGAAAATGAGATAAAGTGTACAACCCAATGAGCTGATGTTGAGTTTTCTCTTCAAAATCGCTCCTTGGCCGAGCTCTAATGGAAGGGTTATGAAAAATAGGAGAAATCCCGTTTTTGAAATATTTAAATCTCTGGGCGTCAGGCCTTCTTCGCGTTCGTGAAGGGCCTGACGCGATCGCGAAGCAACAACTTGATTAGCCTACATGTTCGCAAAGGGTCGCACGCATTCGCGATGGCTGTCCCCCTTAGCCATCGCGTTCTCAAGACTTGGCTCGCGTTCGCGTAGAACAACCCACTGATCACCAACCCAGCCTCTCTAACTCTACGCGTTCGCGTGTGGCCGGTCGCGTTCGCGAAGAGCAATACCCCCAATTCTCCGCGTTCGCGACTGTGGCCTCGCGTTCGCATAGAAAAAATCCTCCCCCAGCCCAATTTACTCTTCGCGTTCGTGAAGAAGGGAACACCAGAAACCAGCAGAAGTTAAGAAAAACCAAATTTTTCAAAGAACTAAGATCCGTAGGCTATCCGAAACTCACCCGTGCCCTCGGGGCTCCAAACCAAATATGCACACAAGTCCAAAACCCTCATATGAACTTGCTCGCACGATCAAAATACCAAAATAACACCTAGAACTACGAATCAGACACCAAACCAAATGAAATTTTCAAGAAAACTTTAGAATTTCTATTTTAACGATTGGACGTCCGAATCACGTCAAACCAACTCCATTTTCACCAAATTTGGCAGACAGGTCATAAATATAGTAATGGACCTATACCGGATTCCGAAACCAAAATACGGACCCGGTATCAACAAAGTCAAACATTGGTCAATTCTGTAAAATCATTAAACCTTTAAACTTTCAAATTTCAACAAAAAGCGATAACTTGAGCTAGGGACATCCGAATTCGATTTCGGGCATATGCCCAAGTCCAAAATCACGATACTGATTCACCGGTACGGGTCCATTTGCTCAAAACGTTGACCGAAGTCAACTCAAATGAAATTTTAAGGCTAAATTTTATATTTTATCAATTTTTAACATAAAAGCTTTCCGGAAAAATACCCGGAATGTGCACGCAAATTAAGGAAGGCTTAAAGAAGATATTTAAGCCTTCGGAACACAGGATTAAGGTTTAAAACTCTAGATGACCTATCGGGTCATCGCATCTCCACCATGTCTCTACACTACAACCAACAAGATTCTTCATCACATTTCTTGTATATGGCTCCTACCAAAGCCAAAAATACTTCCCAAATGCACTTCTAATAACAAAAATACTTTTCAAAATATATTGATTTTGACAACTTGGCTAAACAGAATGCCACCCCAAGAAATAATGAGAATTTTATTTTATTATTGCACTGTAATAAAGGGGTCTAAGACTGCATTTTTCTCCATCTTTTTCTTTTTAGGTCATGGTTTGACTTCTGTCTTATAAAAAATAAGTAGAGAATACCAACAAAATCTCCTTAACTAAGTAGATACAAAAAAAAAAAAAAAAGGGAAACGTAAGGATCTTTAGTTTGGAATGTGAAGCTAAGTTTATGTCATCAGTGACTTACTAATGCAAAATATTTGATTTCTAGTAACTTTCAAAGTAAATAATGCAGTCTTACTCATAGTGTAGGTAAGATCACCAATAAAGACTTAACTAGAAGTGTCTTTTTTAAACTGTTCATTGAAAATTCCATGAGTTTTGAGGAGCAAAGAAATATGAAGAGAACTTATTTCATGTGATGTCTTTTTTGCATTTTTTGTCAATTACGTACTTTTAACGATATGGATCTTGTCAAAGAAAGGTAATTAATAAAGGCTTTCGATCCAAAGGGACACTTCAGCATTATCTCTTCTTTGCAATGCCTATATATTGTCTTACTGTTGAGATTTAAGAGGTCCCAAAATCCTCAACCATTCCATTTATAATTCTCCATAAGTCTCTTCACAATTACTTTTTTTTTTTAAATATGCTGAATTGTTGATTAATTAGGAGGTGAAAATTCTCTATTTCGCATAGAAATTTATCTTGACATGATCATAAATGTGATGAAATTCGGGATTAGCATAAACTATAAACAGTTATAAATTAAATAACTAAAATAATAAAAGTAAAAAGGGTCTCCTCTTTACACTTTAAAACTTATAAATGAAACATCTTCAAGGGTTGTCTTCAGCTGTATAGCTTGGAACGACGTGTTTGTCTTTTTGGTAGATGCCTTTGTTTGATTAAGATAGAAAAAGGAAAATATTCTTTCACTATTCTTCTACACTTCTGATCCTTAAACTAAAATGAAACTTTTCTTATGCATGTAACGTCACTTGAAATCTATACTACTACTACAACAACAACTATCCAGTAAAATTCACTAGTGGGGTCTGAGGAGGATAGTGTTCGCAGATCTCTTGAAATCTATACTAAATTTGTAGGGGCAAGACTAGCTTTCAATAATTATAAAGTAAATGGAAGGTAGTAGTAAAATATTTAAACTAAATTCCCATTACGCTATAGAAAAGTTTAAAAAATAAAGTGAAAAAAGTACTAGTTATAAATGAGGAAAAAGTAAAACTCATGGTGATCAGCATGGAAATTAAACATTCCCCCTTCCTCTAACCCTAGTGAAAGCTAGCTTTCTAAAGCCAATATTCTTGCATGCTAGCACAGGTTGAAATTATTCTTCCCTTTTCCTTGAAAAAAAACAGCAATTTCAAATTTTTTATTAAATAATAGTACATCTTAATAATTGTATAAACAGTTGTAACAGGATACGAACGTTATGCTCCACTATTATAAACTATTGAAACAAACATGATTGAGAAATTGCAGCAATTTCCAACAGCAAGACGACTTTCTAGTCATATCCTTCCGCGTTTTGGGTATGAAGAATTTGATCGATCAATTTAGGAAAGATGAAAACAAAAGGCCTCCTCTTTCTCCAGAACTCAGAGGCGGAGCCAAGATTTCAACCTTATGAGTTCTGGATTTTAGAACGACGATTTCAAGTGTAAGTTATTGGGATCGAAATAACATGGTGCATGCGGAAACTAACAATACAAACCTTGGTGGACGATAAATCAGACGACAAAAGAAAAATATACTAAACTAAGCATAATAGTTTATAATGGTTTGGTCAATTGACCTATATATGATAAAACTAATCTAAAAGAAGAAAAACTATCGAGAGAAAAATCTCCCCCTAAACAAAATTCTTTAATGACTACATTGTGGATATTTTTTTTTTTTTGTGCTCTTGTGAGAAGTAGAGATCCTTAATTTATAGATGTGCAAAACTTGTCTTCCAAGAAAAGGATAAGACATATTAAGGAGATTTAATCCTTTTAGGAGTCTTTTTTCATTACTATTTGTACGTAGTTAATGAATGCTAAATAACAAATACACTGTTTGAGTAAAAGCTACTGGATTCAGCCGAACCCGTTGTTCGGCTTGTGCCTCCGCCCCCGCTAGAACTTGATGACAACTCTAAGTTCAAAACTAATTTCTTTGCAAGTTTGATAGGAGTACATTTTATAATTCTACCTGGTAGACAAAACCAATTTATCCTCAACATTTTCAGCTTAATTCTTTCATATAAAATTGAATTGGCTAATGAAAGCTACTCATGATATATTTTCATAAGATTAAAAAAAGAAAGAATTAGCAAAATCTTCTTTGTTTTTTCTTTGCCATTTCTTTCATGTTTACAAAGTGTATAAAATAGACCTAAAAATCTTGAAAATGAAGAGACCATGCATGAGGCTCTTTAATCTCTAGATTCTAAACTAAAACACTACAAATATATATTAATCTCTTCGCAATACTCAATGCAAACCTAATCCCAATTGAAGATCCAAGGAATTACACTTTTGTTTAGAAGCTGAATTAGGCAAAGTTTCTGGCTTCATCACTGCTGCAGGCCTAGAGTATTTTTCTCTAGATTTCTCTCCATGTGTAAGAGTAAACATACAAGAATCTTGCTGAAATGGCCATTTTCCTGCTATGACATGGGAATCTTGATCATAAGGACTGAAGCTAATTTGGGATTCATCATACACTGTAAACTGATCAGAATTCCCAAAGAAAGAATTAGGATCATAAAACTGATAGTTAATATTATTATTGTTGTTTTGAAAAGGCTGAAGATAGCAACTTAAGCTGGCTTTTCTTGCTTGAAGTTGTAGCCTTTTTTTCCTCATTCTTTCCTTCTTATGAGCATTTTGATGCCCTCCCAAAGCTTGAGAATTAGCAAACTGTTTGAAACAATATTGGCACTCAAATTTCTTCATTATTTCCTCAGAATCAGGCTTACCATTTGATGCAGGTAATAACTTTTCTTGATCTCTTCCTGATGAAACTGTGGATGCTGATGATGAATTTACACTTTCATGATCTCCTTGATCTTCTTTAGTATTCTTTTGGAGTTTTGGAGAAGGTTCAAGTTCAAAACCAAAGAGTTTGAGCCTCTTGTTCTCTACACATGATTTAGAAGAGGATTCATAATTTTCTCCATTATTGGATAATGGAGAATGAAAAGTACTAGAGACATCCTTGGCCATTTTTTCTTGAGAAAAATGAATGGATTTGAAAGAGAGAAATAAGAATAAAAGAAAGATGATGTTTTTTGTGTGTATGATGGACTAATTTGTGTTGTGCATACTCTTCCTTATATAGTAATTTCAATGGGCTTTTGACTAGCTAAGATGTAAGTTATGTACCCTGACGATGTACACTGATGGTGTAAAAAAAAATTATATTATCAGCGTAATTTAACCTATTATAACAATTAATTAGTATCTTATCAGGTTACTATCTTATTATAGGAATTTATTTTTAATTATATTACCAAAAAATTGATTCTGTAAATATTTTTCATACCGTCAATGCATATAAAACTTATATTCTTTTGACTATGCCATGCAACACCAGGCTTTTTTGTATATAATAAATGGCACAGGGCATAAATATACCAATAGTCAATATTAAAGAAAGGGAGAGGGAAAAGAATAGTCATATTAGGAAGCTGTCTCTCATGCAATATAAACAAATCATATAAATAGTAATGTGGTAGATACACCATAAACTTTTCCAACCAAAGAGGATTCAGTGTGTATGATTAAAGACTAAATTTATCTTTTAATTTATTCTTACTTTTGAAGAAAATACAAAAATAAAAACATGCAATTATGGTACACCACTTGATTACTTAAAAAACAAATATTCCATGCTTGAGAAGAGGAGAATGTTTTAAATATTATAAATGCAATACAACAAAAGTCAAAGAAAGATGAGGATGTAATCACCTGGAAGGACTCAACAAATCTATCACTGTACTTAAAAGGCTTATTTAACACTTGTTTTATTGACCAATTGGTTAGTGGATTATATTCATGTATTGTTCTCTACCAAAAGCTAATAAAATATTAGAAAAATAAAATTCAATTTCATTTAAAAAAATATCTGTGGGTGACTAGTCCCATCTACTACAGCACTCTAAATTATATTCATGCACTAATAACTGTAGAGTTGTGATTATTCAGCACTTAAATGAAGGTTCTTTGCAATTATCCAAACTCCTATTCATTAAAAAATGTGAAAGAAATAGGGTTTATCTTGACCATGTCAAAAGGAATGCAATTAAAAAATATGATGGGAGATTAGTTGCTAAACAAAGGAATATTAAGGAAGTGGTTGATGAGGTAAGCATATATACTAATTAGGGTCTTCTATATGAGATCTGAGCATATCTTCTTCGAGCAAACAAACCATATAATTTAATTGTTTAAGGTGAATCAAGTCATCATCTAATATCATTCGAATTTATTTAAACAATATATTACATTATTCATTAAGCAAAGGCATTTATGTTGACAGTTGTTCCCTTTTAATTGGGCCCCATAAATTGTAACTTTGTGGGACATATTAGAAACTATCAGATTTTGTGTGCTTATTCCATTGTTTCTTATAAGATCTTCCATTGGTGAAGAAAAATTAGTCCACCAATCAATCTTTTCATTCTCATCAATTCCCACTCCTTTTTCTTGAATTCTCTTAATTGTTTTTTTTTCTTTTTTTTTTTCTTTTTTTTTTTTTATGATGATAGTGGTGAAGGGGAGCCTTGGCTTGCTGCCATGTGACCAGGAGGTCAAGGGTTCGAGCCGTGGAAACAGCCTCTTGCAGAAATGCAAGGTAAGGCTGCTTACAATAGACCCTTGTGGTCCGGCCCTTCCCCGGACCCCATGCATAGCGGGAGCTTAGTGTACGGGGCTGCCCTTTTTCTATGATGACAGTGGTGTCCGGATCACATTGTACGTACCGAATATTTTATTGGATTTCTATTATTTTTACTCAGCATAAGTATCGAGTGACTTTGTCCATCAAAACTAAGGTATATAGGTTTTGAACTTTGAATTTCAAAATTTGCACCCATGATCCGCTAACCCATACATTATGATGCTTTTTCTTCTTTCTAGTCTATTCGAATGCTTTAGGAGAAGAATTCCAATTAGGCATGCTGTCATCAGGCTATTTCTCTATATCAACATGTGGAATAAATTTTCCTTTAATTTTGAAGGACTAACCTTGGAAATAGATTTTTGGTGGGTGGTTGGGTGGGTTGGGTGAGTTTATTATTCTTTTGATTGATTTCTTCTTCATTTAATGCATCTTATATTCCTATCCTTTGCCTTTGTGTAGATTACAGGATCATAAGTGGCCCCTACCATTGCCAACTCTTTTAAAAAGTCTTACTTCCATCTATTAATTATTTACTTCTATTCAAGCGACAAAATCCCTTAAGAAACTCAGATTTTTTTTTTCTTCTTTTTTTTTTCAACTCAAAAGAATGCCAAAATTGACACAGCAACACAAAGTCAAAAATATTTCACTAGAAAAAGAAGCTTCAGTGAAGCATGGTTTGTTCTCTTTTCTTTAATTTAATTTAATTAATCTTGGCATGTCATTAAGGAATGTTTAATTAACTAACCAATACTTATCGCATGTCGTTGAGCTTTTTTCCAATTAATACAATTCAAATCAAACTCATTTCAAAGGGTTCATGTGCATAGTTCAACTAAATGGAACTTTAGGAGGGAGAGTTTTAATTAAGTAGTTTTGTCCCTGATATTATAATTAATTGTTGTCGTTTAAGTAAAGCAAGACAAAGTAAGAAGAGACAGGAGTATACGAGATGTGATAATACAAGTAACCCCTTTGTACTATTTAAGTTAGATCAAAAGATATTGGAATTTTGTGAACTGGACATATGCCATCTGTCCTCAATTTCAAAATGATTGCATTATTCTTTTAGAAAAAACAAGATTAATAAAATATCTATAGCACTCACCAATATCATAATTGGCAATAACAATATAATAAACCACTATAACTTTACTAATAATATTGCAAGTTCAATGTAAGATAACAGGTGTACGAAGAATCATATCATATTATCGCAAAACCCAAAACCTATTGCAAAGTGTTCAAGTTTTATATCTATAAAATAGTGAAGATAAAGTGTTGAAGAATATGCAGACTCATGTAATTCGAAGTTGGACTTGGAGAAAAAACAAGAATATGAAATTAAGCTAGTTGCATGGGGACGAAAAAAGACAAAATTGACCATAAACCTAATATCCTAGCAATGTTAGTTTAATACCTTATTCTATGATGAAATTTGAATAAGTAGTTGTGAATGAGATAATGAGAATCCATTTGGATGGTACAATAATCAATTGAGTAGGGACTGAGGTTTTGAAATTCTCTAGCTAGAGCCAAGTTAATTTTTTAATTTATAAAGTACCACCACAAGTTTTAATAATTTAGTATTATGAGTGTAGGAATGCATAAATTTAAAGCACTAAGTTTTTGTATCAAAACTTTGATGGAAGTTGAAATGGTCCCTCCCTTCTATCCACACATGAACTTTTTTAGAGGACTCTGGACTCTGCTATAGATTTTTTTTTCCCTTAGCTTTTAATAAAAAGGATATTTGCCGGCAAAATCTCCTAGTTTTCGGCTAAATGATGCCCAAAAGATTTTCTGAATGTTTTGTCTAGAAATAATGTTTAGTCCATTTTTGCGACTAAAGATCTGTCTTAGGCCTCATCTGTTTTTGGTTTTTTAGACTAAGACGTCTGAATTTGAATATACTTCTGAATACCAAGATTTGTATTAAGATTAAGACATCTGAATTTGAATACATATCTGAATGTTAAGATGTGTATTAAGATCTGAATACTAAATGATTAAGAGTGTTTGATTTTTAACATCTGAATTTATAAAATTTACCTTTATTTGAAAATTAATAAACATAAAATTCAAATAAAATACTAATTAATCTAATATTCCATAAATAAAATATATAATTTTTTAAAATATGATAGTTGCTGGTGGTGATGGCTAACGGTAGTGCTTATGGATGCCGACTAAAAGCGGTGGTTGGTGGTAGATTTGGTTGATGGTGGTAGTTTAGGGTAGTAGCTAGTGGTGATTGATAGTTGTAGCTATTATGATTGAGGATGGCGGTGGTGGATGGTGATGGTAAATAATGGCGGGTGGTGGTGATAGTAGTTGTGATTGAGGAAGATGGTGGTGGGTGGTAGTTTATAATGATGGGCAGTGCCAGCTATTGTTGTTGATGGTGATGGGGTGGTTAGTTGAGGTAGTTGAGGTGGATGAATGTTGGTTGTCGTTGATAATGATGGTGGTGGGAGTGGTGGGTGGTGATAGTCGATAATGGTGGTGGTTATGATTGAGGATGATGGTGGTGGTGGTGGGTGGCATGGTGGTAGTTGATAATGGTAGATGGTGGCGGCAGTTCATAATGAATGTGGATGATAGCTCTTAATGAAATTAAGTCTCCGTTATAGATCTTAATCATACAGACCTATTCAGACCCAGTTGTAAAGTAAAAAAAATAAAAACACAATTAACGATTAAGATCTGAATAATTAAGATTCAGACTTTAAAAACAAACGCACTTAATGTCTGAGATTTGAATCATTAAGATTCAGACCTCCATTAAGTACAAACAAATGAGGCCTTAGTGATCATAATAAATTGTGAATAACAATCACGCAGTAGGAGCTTTCGGCATTTGGTCTCATTGATGTCTAAACAGCATTTGGCAATACATCTTTAAGTTTTCAAAAGAAATTTTCCCAGAGATCGACCCACGCAAGCCAAACTGCTTTGGCAAAATTACCACTACATCCAGATGCGAAAGAAAGCTAAGAACTGGAATTTTCCGAGAGAAAAGTAGACGATGCTTACATTGCTCTATCACAACCCAGTTCCTGGTTTTAAGTACAAACCACGGGATTTCAAGCACTAAATCGTTACTTGGTTAACTCGTACATAAATTGTTTGGTCAAGTCTTATAGCTATATATATAGTTCGAGAAGAAAATAGTTAGCGCGTCACACTTACTGACAACATTATATTTCTGCCCAACGGGTGTAACCTCCCATTTCAGAGACCCCAAAAGAAGTTACAGGGAAAAAACAAAACATGAGAGACAAAAAGGAGACAGAAAAATCGCCACCAACCTAACAACATCAACCTGTCTAACTTCTAAGCATACTTGCAAAACGTTTTACACACCCTACTTTAACAAGCGGATTAACGTATTCAAAAGATTTTTACTTCACCAGAGAAATA